TTGACAACACACACCTGTCTTTTTCCTGTCCACGTCTTCAAAGCGCACCCACATCGTCGATGTGTAGGAGAGTAGTGAAGTTGTTCAATTCAGCTTTTCGACTAGAACTGAAAACCTTTCTCCTGTTGAACACCGAACATATTTGTATTTTCGTCTAAGCACACAACCTCAGGAGAAAACGCCTATTTCTGCACCTATGTCACACCAGGCACATTTTAAAGAAATCAGCGGCGATCGGAATCGCTTGCAATTTGAAGTGTCCGTGTGACTGAGAAATTATAAAATTTACTGATGTGATGAGGTAAACTACGGCTGCAGTGTCACGCGAACTATTATGTTTTACTCACGAGCAAGCTATTCATGAACCAAAATTTCAAGTTGAACCTACCTAAGCCGGCAGTTCATCTTCACACCCAAAATATAAATGAGCTTGAATGCGGTGATTTTCAGTCGCGGCACGATGAGTCATTTGCTCGCACAGATGACAGCCGACTCGCCGACGTCGCTTTCGAAAAAGCAAATGGGACGACAACGAAACGAGGACACTGTGGCGTACACTGTGCGGCGATTAATGTTAAGCGCGGCTACATTATGTCTGGTTTGTTTCGAACAGAACGCATCATCGATATAGCGCAAACTATAAAATAGACACCTTTGCGATGCATTTTCAGTGTTAGCTTCCACGTTTTGCTACCCATTTTCCGCGTCAGTATACTTATCTGCCACGGATGGAAGACGAGAGTGACTGATGTCTTCCCGGTAACGGGGCCTTCAACTAGTCCAATATCTGAGTATCACCTATGTGCCATTAGTCTGAGCTGAGCTTTACCGTAACATTGATGAAATCGGCAGAACAAACCTACGCGCTCTTGGTGGGAATCCAGCTTTCTCGCGTGATTGCTGCAATGCAGGCACTCTTTCTATCGTCATCGGTCAGACAACGGAAAGTTTTGACTAGCATATAAAATTAATTCAGGCATGTAGACTGCATCCTGGCTTGACACAGCTGTGCTCGAGTTGCCAGCGCTTCATCGAAATCATTTTATCCGCAGAAAACAATGGAACACAAGCAGCCGCGGCCAGCAACAAACACTGAAACCACGCAAAAACAAGCTTAACCGGATGTTTCCAGAGGGGTTTCCCGGTGAACGCACAATGTTGCCAGAGACCGGCAGGCTCTGGCGAAACCGTCTATAGGGGAGGTAATTAGACCGAATCGTAAGGTAAATTTGAAGAAAGAAAAGTGGGTGAAAAGATAACTTGCCGTGGGCAGGAACCGAACCTGCGACCTTCGAATAACGCGTTCGAACCACTAAGCTACCACTAAGCTTCGAACCACTAAGCTACCACGGCGGCTATCCTCCCAGCCACGTCTTGCGTGTGAGTGCGTGGCGTTAGCCACTGAGCCACGAAGGAGCACCTCATTCAACGTTGAAACGGCAAGCGATTTATATCGTCCACTTACCGATACCGAACTCGGGGTAGCTATCGTGTTTTTAGTATTACCATCGAGATGGCGCAATCAGTGCGCGTCGCAATGAGCTACTTGTACGCGAAGGATGTTCATACTAAATGGAGGAAGTGAAGTCGAAAATTGCCAAGCAAGTATTCAGACAACAGCAAAATACCAAGCCGAAAGGAAACATCGGTTAAGAAGAAGGTGAGGGAAACTGAGAAGGACACTTGGAAGATTGGAGTGCTTACGAAATCATCACTGAAGACCTACCGAACTTTCAAGCAGGAAATCACAAAAGAAAAGATCTACGATGATTCTCGGGGTAGTTTCCTGCTATTCGAGGTCAGAACGGGAGTATTGCGGACGAAGACATACCGAGCCAAATACGAAGGCACAGGCACGTTATGTAGTGCGTGTGGAGAGGAGGAGGAAATGGCTGAACATTTGACAATGTTCTGTAGAGGGCTCCGCCCTATAGTTCAAGATATAGGCGTGCAATTTTTCAAAGCATTGGAGTTTAGGGACAGTAAAGGCAAAACAGACTTTAAACGGATAGAAATAACCAGGAGGAGGTTAATTGATTGGTGGCTAGATTCAAGATGCGAGTGAAATTCATTCCTTCAACACATAGTTATAGTACTTAACTTTATGGCTAGGTGGCATGAGCCGCCTGATCTAAAGGGCACAGTTGGATACATCCGTCCATCCATCTAAACAGATCGTCAAGACGCGGTGACGTGCGCTGAAGCGTTAATCTCCCACGGGTACTTTGACCCGTGGGGGAGGAGGGGGGGTAGACGCCTATGCGTGCGCGTGCTTATCTCGCTGTGGGGAGAATCGTACGTACGTCTTGGGCTTTCACCGGAACGATTCTGTTATAATTACCGGGTGCACAAAGGCCACTGCACTCGCTGCACAGTCTCCGTTCGGGAAAAGGGCGGGCGCACTTTTCAGACACAGCGAAGTAAGTAACAACTCAGACACTTATTCTAGTTAATCTGTACCAGTGAGTAAGTTGCGTGCGTTATTTGTGCGCGAGCAACGCGGTACACTTTTCTTTCTGCTTGCCATTCTTCGCGTGACACTACAATTTGTTGCTATCACATTCATTGCTTTGCCTTTCCGGCAATGCTGTGACTTTTTTTAAGCACGGTGAGAAAACGCCGTCGATCGGTAGTCGAGGCTCCAGAGAACACGCGTATATCAAATATTATAGCGCAGTGCGCGGCGTGGAATTTACAATAAATGTTCAAAGTCAGCTAAAACTCGCTTCCTCCTCTCGACAAATGACGCGACAGGTAGTGTTGCAGAAGGTACTACTGGCTCAAAATTACTACGTCCCAGGCCTAGTATCAGCCATTGGCTTATTTGAGCATGGCGCGCTGGGTCGTTAACCGCTGGAAGCCACGTCTAGTCCTCGGCGTGCGCTTGCGATCACATTGGAAAGCCACGTGTTCGAAGAAGCAAAGAGAGAGAGAGAAAAGTACTGTAGGTTACGAGGCGTTCGGGACGCATTTCCTTCCTCCACGTCATCCGTCTCTGCTTAGCCTAATTCTAGCGCTTTCGTCCGTACGAGACAAGGAATGCGTTTGCAGCATGTGATAAATCTTTGTAACTCCGCTCATACTGAACGGGAATTCCGAAAGCTTTTGCAGCGGTGAATTCGTGAGGTAATAAGCTCTTTTGATTGACGTGTGGGTTTTAACATACGAAAACAAGCATATAATTATGAGAGACGCCGTAGTGAAGGGCGCTGAAGATTTTGACTATCTGGGGATATTTTAACGTGCACCCAAGTCTGAGCAAACGGGCCTACAGCATTTTCGCCTCCAGCGAAAATGCAGCCGTCACAGCCGGGATTTGATCCAGCGACCTGCGGGTCAGCAGCCGAGTACCTTAGCCACTAGACCACCGCGGCGGGGCCAATAAGCTCCTTTAGTCAATCCATTCCATGGCCACTTAGAAGCGTGCTGCAGGGCCTCTTTATTGTCGATTTTCTTTAGTAAGCATCATTGAAGCACAGTTGTGTAGTGCTGTAAAGCATACTATGTTGATGTACTTGCAGGCTCATATCTCGTGTACCGTATTGACTTTATGTGTTGAACAATCTTATTTTCCTTTTCTGATTTAATACGTCGGGGTTCAACTAACGTAACTGGTGTAATACTTGTGCAAATAAGTTGGTCTCTTTACAACGTGCAGTGATCTGAGTAATATTGATGTAATCCTGCACTTGAGTTTAGGTGAACTTTTTTTGTCTTCATATTGCCTAGCATGTTTTAATGATAGAATGTCAGATGTAGTTTAATAGATCCCTTCATGGCACTTAGTTCTTTCTTTTTGTGGTGGTTTGTGGGCAACTAGAATATTGTGTGGTAGAATGTGTCCTCATTTGTATATTGCCACTGTTACTGCATGACTGTTACCCCACAGACTGCAGTGATATTTTTCCGTGTTGGTTATTTACATACTGCATAAATTATTAGGCTTTTACTGGGAGACAGCAGTGTGTAATAGAGAACAAACTTTTTTTTATAATTGTGAGCATTCCAGGTGCATTTCTTGCCATTGCAATTGCCGCCATGTGCAGTATTAAGTCCAAATCGACAGCATTTCCCCGCGTGTGGTATGTTCTGTGTGCGAGTGAAAGCACAGGCGCCCTATAAACGAACTGCTCAAGTGTATATATAATGTGCCTTGCGCGAGGGGTGCATGGAGAAGGTAACAGGCGGAGGAGGGGAGGGGGGGGGGGCGTGCATGCAGGAAATGCGTTACTATTATCAACCGGCCGGGCGTAGTCGCTCGCGTATCTTTTATAAGGGATCAGCAGCTGGCTCATAGCCTCCTGCGTGTTGTGTTTTGAATGCTAAGTTTGCGCTGGAGCCATAGAAAGTACGGTCACTTCACTCACAGCTGCGGCGTGGCCACGTTTCCTAAAGGAGTGGGTTGATAGACAGCTTTTCTTTTTTTTTATTTTTACATTCTGATTCATTGCTGTCGCATTCATTGCATCGCCCTTGCGGCGAAACTGTGTTTTTGTTGTTGTGAATGGTGGAAAAAAGCTTTCATCTGGCCGGAAGCAGAACAAGTCATTGCACCAATCTTTGTGGTATCATTGAGCGGCACATTACTGTCGATAAATGCAAAACAATGCATTACGCAGGTACCAGTCCACTACCAACGGGGCATACAGAGAACATTTGAACATGAGCACTATTAGAAGTCGCATCTTGTAAAAAAAAAAGAAGAAAGATACGTAACTATTATGAAATCATCTGCACTGTGATTCACAAGAACTAATGAAGTTGGTAATAATGGTTTGTCATTTCTTTTTTTTTTTTGATAAACATAGAGCTTGACCAGAGCCCATGTAACATCTCTCACACGTGAAGTTCTGGTTATGTATTGTTCCTTGACAAAGCAATGCTTAGCGCATTGCGCAGACAACAGTGTGAGGTTGTTTTGACTTGCGTCTTCACTATGACCCTCACGTTCGCTGTAATGCAGCAAAGATATATGAGTGCATCCCAAGCTATGAATTTCAGAGTACTGAAAAGTTTTTTTTTTACTTTTTTATTTCATATCATGTTTATTTTACGTCGATGAAAGCGTGGGACCTCAAAACCATGTAAATAATACTATGGTGTCTGAAAGCGCTCGAAACAACCTTACCTTCATTTTCGTTTCCAGAAAGTTTCGCTGCGTGCGGTCATTGTTACAAAATCTGGTTGCCTATAGGTATTCTCTGATCTGGTCACGTATAGGAGAAAAACAATGCTTCGCTGTGACTCTCGCTCGACCACTTATGCTGCTAAGCTTGTAAACGCCGCCTAGGAAACGATCGAGCGAGCAGAAACACGTTGCAGCGTGCTGCTCATACGTGCCCAGAATCGTCATCACGATCTCACGACGCAGAATCCGGGAAACGTAACCAAAACTAAATGTGGAAGAGCTATGACATCGAATCGCTTAAGTGGACCACAGGCTTCAGGTGTCTTTACATGGTCTTGAGGTCTTTACCTTAATTAAACACAGTAAATGAATCGTTAGAAATATGTTAGTACTTCTTTACGAATGAACATTCCACAGCGAGCCACACATTCACAACAAACAGCACGTGGGGTGTTATGATACACCGCTTTGAAACGTGAACAAGTTAGTTTTGCCCCCGCGTGCTTGGCTACGATTGCACTTGCGTCAGTGAAACAGTGATTTTGTCGAATCACACGCGTGATACGAAGCGGTTCACCTTCTGAACTGTTTAAGATAGCAGAACCACTTTGAAATCATTGCCATTCGAGCATATCAGATGCACTATTCAGTTGATCACTTGATCATAGAACGGTAAGTGTCACGCCTCCTTCTCGCTCAATGATCTGCTTAATTCTTGATTCGACGCATGCTTTGCAAGCTGCATGTCACAAATAACAAAACATCGAGGCACTGTATATGCTCCCTACCTAAAGGTAGCATATACAATATCTCTAACAAAACATAGGGTGCCTCGATGCGTGCCTCGATGCTCACATCGAGGCACTATAACAAAACAAGGTTCGTGATGTCCCCTAGCGGCATCTAGTGAAATCGGTAGTCGTCTACGTAGCAGACGCATCCGCTGGGAATGGGAAACAGGTCAATGAGGGGCTTCTGCCCCGGATCGTAAGGATTGACTGCAATAAGCGGGAAGAGCATCTCGCGCTGCTTGCACGACGATTTGTAGCAGGGCACCATGTAGTCGCACGGCTTGTTCCGGTACCTGCGAGACAGCAGAAACACGCCACAAGTGATGACTTCATCGCGTCACGGAACCGAGCCGACATTGCATCGTGTCAGCGGCAGGGAAAATACATTGCAGGTAAGCAGGCGCTTTCAGTTTATCTTTTAACTTCGCGTATCGTGGGCCAAAAAAGAAATTTGACGTTTGGCTTCGTGAACGCGGACAGTTCCTCTTTCGAGCGTACGCCTTTGACCGCTTATGAATTAAGCCGCCAAAGAGCCAGGAGCGGTGCTAGTGGTGGGTATCGGGGGGCTGGAGCCTTTCAAAATTTCTGCCAGACCCCTCTCTGCCTCCCCAAGAGAAAGCATAGTCAAAACACAACACTTATATTTTCAGCCTTGCCCTTGTCGTGGGTGTCCCCCCCTCCCCCGTCCTGTGATAAAATCCTGGCGCCGTCCCTGCAAAGAGCACTTCAATTTATGTACGCATGGCGTCACGAAAACAGACGCGACGACCAAGAAGCAGCAAAGGCAGATGACCGAGACTGACTGAACGAGAATATACAAGCCAATTTTCATAAACGTGTTGAAGTAACTCTAGAACACCTGCGCGGAACGATCGTGAAAGCAGCGGAACGTAGAACGCATCTTTCGTTCCGCTTGCGCTTTCGATTGAGCAGAGCGTGCGACTATCGTTTCGCCGTCATTTGGCGGCCAAGTTGAGCGCGTGTCGAGAAGACGCGCTCGTCAAAAACGCGAAGTCTTTGTGTACAGTTGCCCGCACTGCTTCGGGACGCCACATCTGCACGGCGCCATGTGTAAGCGACACTCGGCTAAAAGCGCCTGTTGCGTGTTTTAGAATACGGAAAAGCACACTTACGTCACACGCCACGAAAAGTGCGACCTGAAAGAGATACTTTCGCGGGAATATTCACTGCGGCTGGGAGATGCGCCAATGGGACGGCTACAGGCAGCTTCTCAAGAGACAGTAGGATTGGGCGTGTTGGTATAACAAGATAAAGAGTGCTTACCAGGACAGGAGAAGAGACTTCTCCTGTCTCCTGTTCCCTCCTGCCCTGTAGTTTGCTCTGGTAAGCACTCTTTAACAGGAAGCTTCGTCATTGCGTTTTTGATAGAATGTGGAAAGGACACTTTTGCGTTCGCGCGTGCACATACGTACTTGCACTTCTCGACGCGCGTGACTTGCGGGAAGCGCTCGGTGTTGACGACGGTCATCCAGAGGCCCTTCCAGTTCTTGGCCCAGCCGATGCGCAGGTACACGGCCTCCGAGCGGCACACGAAGCTGCCGTGCTGCTTCTCGGCGGCGAACGCCAGCGTGTAGTTCTCCACCCACTGGACTTCGTGCGGAGGCGTCTTGTACAGCGTGTGGTACAGGTCGTACATGTGGTTGTAGTACCGGTCCACGACCGCTTGCACTTTCTCGCTGCAACGGGACAGGCATGTCGGCTTGAGCATCACGTCACCATAGATGTTCAAAGACGATACTCTCGAAGCTATATCTTTTTTTTTGTTTATATCAGTGGCTTTGTAGATGACATTAACTGACATCCATAAGATCTTCGTTCATATACATGCCTGATAAGCGGTAAATATATCTGGACGCATGCCCAGGTTCTCTGTACATTGACTAGTGAGCAAAATTAGTGCCGCTTAATGTTTCCTTCGGCCCAAGAAGCCTAATAAGGAATTAATTTTGTTCCTAAGTTCAGCTTATCAGTCGCATAAGTCCACTAGCTCTTTCTGCTCAATTGTTAGACAATTACTAGGCTGTCGTTGATTACACGCAGTGGCGTAACTAGGGGGGGGCAAGGGGGTACAAGTGCCCCGGGCGCCACTAGGGAGGGGGCGCCAAGCCGAGTCCTCGGGTTGGCGCCCCCTGGAAAGGTTGTCAATGTTTTTTTCCGTAAAACCGCCTGGAAGGGGGGAGGGGCGAGGTTGTAATGTACGACTGGAAGTGGGGATGGTGGTGAAGGAAAGGGTTGCCGCAATGGCTTTTGCATCGGGAAAAGGATCCTCTATTTTCATTTTGCTGCGCTACCTCCGTGCCTTCCCATGACCCTCGGCTAAGCTTTGTTTTGTGCTCCGCAGCACTGGGTTAGATGAGTTTCAGCGAACCCCACCAGCCTCCCAAACCACTTACTGAAAGCTTCCCTGAAACCAACCACGTACGTAAACAAAATAAAATAAAAAGTTCGAATGCACCTTTTTTGAGTAAGAACAGAAAACTCCAACGAAATAGCCGATCGTCCAACGACTAATCGTCCACGCAGCGGCGGAAGGAAGGGCGAATATAATCCGTGACCTCGGCACCAAAGGCTAAACAAAGGCGTTTATTCGCAGAGTTCTCTGGAGGAAAGACGGAGAAAGCGTGACACGACGGCGACGTTTGTTGATTCCCTGCATCGCGGGCGCCAGCAAAGCAATAGAAGGGCGGGGGTCAACGTTTCCCACATGCCATCCACCGCCATGGGCAGGTTCATCCTTTGGCCCAAAGAACACGCACCTGCGAAAAAAGCGCAGAGCGTAGTGTACCCGACAGCATGTGCCGACTGCCCCGCTTCGTACGTTGGAGAAACCAAGAACTTCCCTGAAAGAATGCGGCCGCACAAGGATGACCTCCATCAATGGAACAGCGAACGGAGCGAAACGGCAGAACACTCCGACCAGTTTAACCCCCATACCAGACCCGAGGGCGCGGTGTCTAGCTGGTTGCTTTGTTTTGTACTCACCCTGCATTCCTTGGGATGCACAAATAGCGCGAAAGCTTAGGTACGAGAAACTTGGGCCTGGGAAGCGCCCGTGCCGTCAAGATTTTTGCAGTGTGGACTGGAAGAGAACAATGACGGGTAAGGGACTTCCGGAAGTTTGAATAAAAAAAGAAAAATACTATACAAAAACGCGGGCGTAGCTCATCGAAATCAGAACTGGTGGCCCTTGGCCTCCGAAATGGCCCGCCGCGCGCCAGTAGGCAATCGCGGAAGCCTACATTAGCGCTAATAATAATAATAATATAATAATAATAATAATATTATTTAATATTATTATTATTATTAATATTATTAATATTATTATTATTATTATAATTAATATTATTATTATTATTATATAATAATAATAATAATAATAATAATAATAACAAACATTATCACGGGCATAATGAGGGGCGCGGAAATATATTTGCCCTGGGCGCCGTCCTATCTAGTTACGCCACTGATTACACGACACACTGCGCGGGTTCGAAAGCAATTGATAACATGCGATAAGTGTTTAACCCACTGAGTACGAACGTCGGGCGATCTAGGAACAAAAAAAAACGGAAATAGTGTCAGCTTAAGCATGATGTGGTATACGCTAGACTGCCTTTCAAATTGGTTTCTATAGTGTGCTGCTATATTGGGCAGTCGACTTTGCCTTCATGTTTCTTAAACGACTAAACGAACACTGCAGTCGTAAGCGCACACGCATAGAAGCGCTTTATTTGGTGCATTCGGCATTTCGTGACCTCGTTAGTTTCGCGTCACAATATAAAGAAAAAAAATGGAAACATTCTTTTCACAGCCAAAGGGGGCGGCTCATACGTCTCGAATGCACACCTGTCTACATGTACTGGTTGCTTCCTTGCCGAAAATACAACATGAGCGTACAAATAAACTGCTGCTGTATTTTGTCTCCCCTATCAACCCTTGGCGCGGCTAGAGTGGGGAAGGATTATCCCCTTTGCTGAAAGTATCCATGTCTGTGTGTGTATACACACGCACGCACACTCACAAACACACACAAAACGTACGATTGCCAGTACGGCACATGCGGCTGTATGTTCCAATGCACTCACATTGGGTAGTCGTGGTTGAACACGCACAGGTCCAGGTCCCTTGCGCAAGAGGGCCTGCCGTGCACGAAGCCGGACGGAATGATAGATGCCGCCGGCACAAGAGACGTCTTTCCCTTGGAGAAGCGCCTGTCACTGGAGAACGGAGGTTCCTTGTGGTACAGGACCACCACTCCGCTTGCGCCGCCAGAACCATGGTGGTGCGGGAACTCGGAGCCCAAAACCGTAGTGGTGGTCCAGAACAGCGCCAGGCAGAGGGCACCGGCCGTTGCTGGCATCAACTGCGCCTACGCGGGGGATATTGTAATCGTGTAGCGGCGTATGCGTGATATTTACATTTGCATCAAGGAGCAAGTGGATAGATGGAACTGAACCTGAAGCAATCGATGGTACTGTTAATTTGACGCGAAAAAGGATAAGTGTACCACAGCTCCGCAAAAGAAATAAAGGCTGCACTGTATACTTTTTTTTTTTTACGTGACGAGAACTATGGTATTTGCAACAACATGTTACGTCTAGCAACCGGACATAATCTTACAGGACGTCGCACAAAAATGCGTCCCCCCCTTTAATGTTCTAATTAAGTACCACTCTTGTTAACAGCTGCAAATCAGCGCCTCGTATCTCTACGGCTTGTCGAGCCGCTAAGGCTACTTCTTGTGGACAACATAGCTTCTTCTGTGACTGTAAATGGAACTGCACTCTTCGTCACCGGCGCATCCACGTCCCCAACAAGTGCTGGCGCGTATCACTTCCAGTAAATAAAAGTAGGAGATGTCAGGAGCAATCCCATTCCGTCGCCGCCCGGGTCCTCACCGTGCCTGTCCGTGGCGGAATACTGGGCCTCCGCCGAGTGTCCATGGTGACAAGCTTGAGACTCGCTCGGCAACTCCGTTCACGTGGATGCTTCTCTCTACGCGCCCCGAGTGGGCGCGCGGTCCGGCGCCGGTGTTTTTAAGGCGGCCCGCGCTACAAAAGAAGCACCGGGCCGGAACGGGGCCAAGGGAGAGCGGCCACCGCCGCGCGGCGAGCTTTGTTTTCTTGCGGTCGCCGGGATGCACCGCTAATTGCGCGCCTCGCTGTGCCGCCACGGTGTAGAAGGGGCGTGCGTATTCCGGTGAAAGCGAACGCGAAGATTCCGCGCGCTCGTAGACATGCGCGAGGCGCGCAGTGGCGGATGGGGGCGTACTCGTTCGGAGCTGACGGCTCAAGCACGTGGCCTTCTTCGTGGGCCTGCTTTCTGGACTTGCCGCTCGAAGCGTCATCTGGAAGCGGCGATGGCGTGCTGATATAGCGCATGGTCGGGTCTTTTGAATACAAGCGGTGGAGAACAAAACTTAAATATTTTAAGGGAAGGGGAATACGGGAGCATGTTGGTTGCGGCCCCAAATACAGGGCCCCACGTTCTTGCGCCACTCGCCTAGCATGACTGAGAAGCGCTAATGGCTCTTCTGGGCCCGAAAAGGCAAGTTGTCCGTGCCACTGGAGTCGTCGGAAGTATGTAGTTGAGCCCTACACTGTGTGCACACTACTCGTTGACTATAGGGATATTCTGCCTTCTTTCTCTTTCCGGCTGTTATAAAGTGCGAAACTGCAAACTCTTGCCGATTCGTTGCTTATTCGTAATTTTTTTCAAGTGCAATACGCCATGCTATCGTATGCTGTCGTAAGCGGTCATCGCTTGGAATAACACAGGTAAAACCACATGTGTCATATTCATCTGTAGCATATTGTGCACGCACTTGCACCAAGAAGTCTTCTTCTTGTTCTTCGAGTGCCTTCATGATGATATTAGGCAGTTTTAGAATAGAGTACGCAAAGCTTTACGTTAGCTGCATCCCTGCTGCTTTGTTCCTGCTGCATCTTGCGTTAACCTTTTGCGGGCCCCTGCTGACGGAAATGGTGGACGACCGCAATGAACGCTATCTTAGCTTATACGCTACACTAAAGCTTACTGTCAAGTGCGGAGCATTTTAAGTGGTTGGGCTTCCGTATGCTGTCATCGCTTGGCAAAACGCAGGGAAAACTAGGTATGAAAGTATAGAAAAAAAAGTAGAAAGCAAGCGTGAAATAGAGAGAGAAGAAAAGGATTGAAAGATAAAGAAAGAAATAGAAATAAGGAGAAAAACAAGACAGAAAAGTCTGAAAAGAAAAGGATGAGAGGAGGCAAGAAAGACGAAACCGAAGAGCGACAAGGACGGCTGTCCAGCCCCACATTTTCTTCAGGCTTAGTACCACTAGTGCGGATCTGCTTAATTTTTACACCGAAGCTACATATGGCTCGGTTTCGGCGAATCTTTACCACTGGCAAAAGACCTGTAGGACATTCTTCGGTGAACTGATTAGCTCGACTAAAGCAGCAATTTTTTTTCGTTAAATAAAAGTGGCATACTCGCGATTCCAACTGAGTGGTCGCCACCCAGCGGCCGCGCCTGAAAACGGCGTAGCAGGGTCAACCTTGAAAAGGGATACGTTACCAAGTTCAGCGCGTTCATAAGCGGCCGCATAAAGTTCCCTTATTTTCGCTATGCGGCAAGCAGCGCGCCGGAAAAAGAAGAAAGAAAGAGAGAGAGAGAAAACATTTATTGAGTTAAGCTTGTCAGTGAAAGGTGGGAGGGTACCTTATTCCAGGAACTGTCTGGCCTGGACAGCCTGCCGTGCTCGAGCGACGAGTTGACGCTGTTCGACCAGGTCCTGCTGGGAGATAGCCGCCTCCCACGCTTCACTGAGGAGGTCTTGGTCCGCATCTGCTGCTGCTACTTGTAGCCTTGGGACGCTCACTTTGCACTGCAGTAGGAGGTGTGCCCAGAGTGTCTGCCACATTGCAGTGAGGACAGATGTAGCTGTGCAACGTCGGCCTCATATGGTGCAATAGTACGCCATCCATGGGTGAACGCGTTGCTTTAAAGACGCCTGTAGTCAGTGCCTTCGTCTCTTGTGAGTTTTAGATGTGACGGAGGGTATGACCTGCGCTCGAGCCGATAATGTTGCAGTAATGCATGATATGTTAGTGGTACGGGTTCTCTTGCCTCTGCTTCTGTTGTAGAGTGGCGAGGTGCCTCGGATCTCGTACGGGAATGCCCAGTTGACGCATTCGCGGGCTGCGGTGTGTGCCGCAGTGATTTTAAAAGGCCGTTGAAGTGTGCCGGAATGCGTGGGATCACGATGGAAAGATCGAACGTATAGTTCTATCACTTCCCGAAGGATGCGGACGTCGCGCAACGGAGAACGGCGCAAATCAGAAACTTACGCATGGGAAATAAGGTGATGGACACTACGGTAGTTTGATCTGATCAATTCGCTCGCAACGACTTAATTCTCCTCAGTGAGTACACCATTATTTAGCGTGTGGGCATTCTTATCAACATTCGGGCCTCTCTAAGCATGGAGTACACTATACTTTATATAAGCAAGCACTTTAAGAAATTTGTTGCGTTACGTTTCTGACTGCATTTTTCGCATATGCTTGTTTTCTGTGCAAGCCATAGTGCTACTCATTCTCAATTTAAGTTGCTTTAAGACAAGGCCACGTGCATAAGGAACGACCGTCATGCCATTTCGTATACTCTCAAGAGTATACTCTGCACTACAGTGTTTCGTTCTGAGACCGCCGCTTACGATATAACATACGTCATGCACAAAGGAAACATCTGGAACTTGGAATTTGTCTTTATACACTGAATATTCGCAATAATTATAACGCTTACTATTTATAGCGATATTTGCTATACCAGCCCCACCACAGTCACAGCTTCGCTGGCTTCCATTTTCATAGTAAAGTGAAAATGGTCTCATTTGTTCTTAGAGGCGAAGCTACTTACACCGTGGGTCTTATGTCCCGTGTCGTCATAGTCGTCGTGGTAGCCAGTTGCATTTCATGACAATATAAATGGTGTCAAAGCATATCCAAGGAGTTTATGATGATGAGTGGGGCAAAGCCCATGTTCGTCCATCCGTCCCTCCGTCCGCTTCGCCCCACTCGTCACCATTCACCTCGTGTGTACGCTGCGATTTTTTCTTTTTATCTGAGCAACACGCACACGAAATTTGTATTTATGACTGAAGAGATTACAGAACATCGCACAGGTCAAGCAACCATTTTACTGTGACAGCTTTTCTTTTGAATACTTGGCTAATACTGCTTTTACTGGCGAGACCATGCACGCGAGACTTAGTATTGGCTCGCGCGGGTCTCGTTAGCTCACTTTAGTCTCAACAAACACAGATATTCACGTGCCTCTGAGAACAGCGGCACGTGTAGTTTCTGCACAGGGATTCATGTCCTAGCGATACAGTGTTAAACATCAACGTCCTCTTAAAAAAAAAAAACATGCCAGGCCTGCGCGGAATTAAGGCGCGGCAGCTCTCAGTGAAAGCTAGAAGAGTGGCCTTTCAGAACCTTTTCAAAACGCTCATAGAGTAACTACTGCAAGCGTGCACACTTGCTTGATAACCACTAGGGCATTAATAAGAAATTTTTTGGGTAGTAGGCTGGCATTCGCTATGCTATTTATCGTCATTCTTGTGCCGCTGAACACTTGCAAGAAATTTTGCGTCAATTGTTCATGCAGTGGCTGACGACGATGAGGAATTATGGCTGAAGTGGGTATGCGCCACAGGTGAACAAAAACAAGCTTTTGTAATGGGTTGGAGCATTGGATGGAGCACTCGTTACGCTATTCGCATTGTGCGACGACTGGTTGTTCTTTCGCTGTTTTCAAACGCTTTTTAAGTAGTATTAACGTGATTGCTTTCCCATCATCAAGCCTGCCTTTGGCAAGTTTGTTAACAAGTCACAAGCACCGGCGTAGCTCAGCGGTAGAATATTGGGTTGGCACGCAGCGGACCCGGGTTCGAGCATTGGTGCTTTCACTGTAAACGTAACAGCTTTGCCGCAAAGGCGAAGCAATGAACGCGGTAGCAATAAGTTGGAAGGTCACGCGCTGAATGGAAAGCAGATCGAAACGTGCCCAGCGTTTCTGACGCACCAATGACACACGAAACGTATTCGCAGGTACAGATGCAGGCGAATAAATGTCTTAGTTGTTACTTCGCTGTGTCTGAAAAGCGTGCGCTTTTCGCAAACGGAGACTGCAATAATTGCAGTTACCTTTGTGCGCCCGGTAACTACAACAGAATCGTTCCAGGTAAAGCCCGAGGCCAGCCAAGACGTACGTTCCTCCCCACTGCGTGATAAGGGTGCGCGAGGGAGCGCACCCTTATTACGCAGTACGCGTGAGAGGTTAAAGTACGCGTGAGAGGTTAGAGCGCGCGCCGCCGCGCGATGCGGCAACGCGAGCTCATTGCACAGGCACTGCGCCATGCTCCCGCCCGGGTTGCAGAAATTACGTGCCTTTTTCTCATCTTCTAACCACTACCACCAACACCATTGCACCATTTTGCTGATTATGCTGGAAACACGAATGATGATTATGCTGGAAACATGCTGGAATCATGCTGGAATCCCGGCTGCGGCGGCTGCATTTTCGATGGAGGCGAAAATGCTGCAGGCCCGTGTGATTAGGGTGCATGTTAAAGAACCCCAGGTGGGCAAAATTTCCGGAGCCCTCTACTACGGCGTCTCTCATAATCATATAGTGGTTTTCGGACGTTAAACCGCAGATATCAAATCAAACCAGATGTTTATATAACCAGTAGTCAGCACTTGCGCAACGTGTTAGCAACACCAGAAGCGGTAAGCTTATGATATGAAGCGCTGGTGTTCGCCGAGATGGTAGCACTGGGCACTGCTACATAAACGAACTTCAGCGCACGGCACCTAACTACCATTGACGTTAACCCGACGTGATACATATGAATACATACGCAATGTTTATAAAAATGGACAGCCAGCATTGCAACCATAATTGACGTTTCACGAACTTTATAGGGTCTATATGAAAAGTAGTTCTGACATCTGGCGTGGCTCTGTGGTAGAATGCTTGGTTTCCACGCAGAATGCTTGCGTTTGATTCATGCTGGGACCCTGACATTTATAATTCTTTACATTCGTCGGGTCAACGCTGCCGATGTCGGGTTTTTCTCAACACGCATGCG